CACGAACACGAATTAGAAATATGTGGTGCTATTATTTCTATTTTAAAGCATCCACGTGTGGATCAAACTCTCTTTGTTTTCTCTATTCCATCAGCTCGATTTATTCAATTTGATTCTAATACAAGAGTTTGCTTCGTTATGTGACTTGTGCGTTATAAAATCAAAGGTCATTAGAATATAACCATTCGAGTTGTTTTTGTAGCAAAAAGTAAAGACCTTATCATGGGTTTAGTCTATAAACCAAGAAGGAGCATGAGTCTGCAATGAGAATTGAGTTTTAACTCAAAGATTAGGATCAAAGTCCCAATAGAGAATGAAGAGTGGATGCAGGTTGAGCACCACTACTAACTAAGAAGTTTGAAGAGTTTGACAATAGTTTGGCAAATCAAAAGTTAAAGATCGTACATTTTAAAATATCACAAAGGAGGTACGTTAGGACCCAAATGTTGTGACTTGTACTTTTTCTCGTAAACTCTAAATCTGCTCACGTCTTATTTGATTTTGATGTCTCAGATTCTTTTGTGCCATGTAAATTCGCACATTCCTTTCAAATTGCTTGTTACGCATTTGGCAAATCATTTAATATAGATACCATAGGAAGTATACATTACTTGATGATAAAGTTTATAGAGATTATTTTATAAGAATTGAAAGTAATAATATTCTTGCTAATATCTCCTTGCCCAACTTTGATATTATTCTCTGTATGGACTGGTTATCAAAGAACCACGCAGAACTCTTGTGCTACAAAAAGATGCTTCAATAGAGAAATACGTGCAAGTATACTTGGACGGAATTATGGCGAGACATGGTGCGCCACTAAAGATTATTTCCGATTGTGATACTCGTTTCACTTCTCACTTTTGGGCGAGTATGCAACGTGAATTGGGATTTTAAGTTGCTCTCGACACAGCTTATCATCCCTAGACAAATGGTCAGACGAAGAGAACGATCCAAGCAGTAGAAGATATGCTTCGTGCATATGTCTTGGAGTTCGGCGGTAACTGGGACAAGTATTTTCTATTGTCAAATTTTAGTATAATAGCAATTACCACACTTCAATGAAAATGCTACCATATGAAGCATTATATGGGCACTGATGCCGCACTCCATTATGTTGGTGTGATATAGGCCAGAAAAGCTTTGGAAGCTCTGAAATGATTCAAGACACCACTGATAAGAATCAAATTGTACGAGAAAGAATGAAAGAAACCCAAGAGCGACAAAAGTCCTGTGTAGAAATGGAGAAGATGACCCATAAAATTCCAAGTGGGTGATACTGAAGGTATCCCCATGGAAAGGTATTATGAAATTTGAGAAGAAAAGGAGATTGAGTCCTAGATTTGTTGGACTTTTCAAAATTATCTAGAGAATTGGTCAACAAACATATCGCTTGGAATTGCCTAAAGATTTAGTAGATATACATGATATAATATCTAAGTAAATGCTTGAGCGTATATGATGAAACGATTCCATTATCCTAAGTGAAATTGGATAATAAGTTAAGATATGTAGCAAAACCTGTAAAAAATCGTAAACGAAAGAGCGACTAATCTACATAATAAAGAAGTGGAGTTGGTGCTTGTCAAGTGGAAGCACCATCGAGGCCCAAATTACACTTGGAAGAATAAGATTGAGATAAGAGCAAAATATCCCCATTTATTCTAATCGATGTAATTTCGGGGATGAAATCCTCAAAAGCAGGAGGTATTTGTAACATAGGCGTTAAATTATCGTGTATTGTAAATTATAAAAGTGAATAATATTACGAAATATTATGTGAAATTGAGTTTTGAGTTCTAACGGATAGTTTTTACTAAGAAATGAAGTAAAACTATGTATAGGATCACTCAGAAAGTATTGGAAGTCTTATAAGATTCCAATAAAATGTCAAATAGTGAAATTTAGCAAAAATAAAAAATTTTAAATAAGTAAAATTTTATTATTTAAAGTTGTAAAGAATCTCGTTATAAAAGTTTAGGCAAAAATCTCGTCGAAATCTGAGTTATAATGAATAAGTTGTGACCAATCAAAGATCCGCGATAAAACTAGCAAACACTATGTCGCATAAAAAGTGAGTTTCCAATAAACTACTTTTTAACCTTAGTTATCTAAATGAAAGTTGTAGAATTCATTAAAATAATAAACTTTCATATAAAGAACTTTTAAATTTGACTTCGTACAAGGAAGTTATGATTTTTCTAAGTTTCGGAATAGTAGTAGATAGCTAAAAACTCGAAATGAAAATGAAGCGATATTTAGCCGACACAACCTAAACGAGAATTCAAGGTCTCGTCAATAGTAATACAACGGTAAAAAGTCTGACAAAAACGGACGTCAGATGAAGAAGTTATGAATTTTTAACGGATTTTCCTGTATCAGTCTGTTAAAAATAATAATATTAAAATTAAGGTTAAAATTAGCCGATGAAGTCTAAAATAAAGTTGTAGAGCATAATTTTACCTACGCGTGCATATAAAGAACGTCAAAAACGGAGCTAGTATGCCAAAGTTATGGATTTTAGAAGATTTTGGCACAATTTTCGAGAATTTTCGCATGAATAGTGTCGGCCACGTCACCACTCTCGCGATCAGCCTCGTGTCCGAAGCGAGCCGCCTGCTGATTTGACCGAAGAGGTGGTCCAATGGCCTTGCGACACGCCTCGCATCTTACTCCGCCCCGTGTCCGAAGCGCTGGACCAATCTGGTTCTGACGCGTGCCAGATTCGAGCCTCGCTGTCCTCCTTCCCTTCGCGTGTCCGAGCCTCGCATGAGCCACCTGGCTCTCACATTTGCTGCCGCATGTAACCTTCTTAGCCATCGGATCCGAGCCCTCTCACCCTTATAAATGGCATGCGACATCTCTCGGATAAGTTTGGATTTTTGCCATTTTTTCACCCCTTATTCCATATTTTGGCTATTTCCACTTCCCCCGAAGCCGGTATTATTTTTAACACTCGAAACACATCCCGAAGTGCCCGAGAAGCCCGAGAAATTTATCTTTTCGGTTTGAAGCCTAACCCTCGCAGGGCCCGGTTTTCAATAAAGCTCCTAATTTTCAACATAGAAAGTCATATTTAAAGCCGAAGTGCTGCCCAAGTTACTATTTTACCCCCAGTAAATTCAAGGTGAGTTCAATATATAGGTACAATTGTATGTTTGTGTTATATGTTCTGTGTGATTTTTCCGTGTTATTATCTTGTTTTGTTATTTCATGCTATATTTGTAGCAAAGTTATACCTTTGACCATGTGATCAGTGAAAGGACTTAGATTCATGATGGTACTGGTATGTAGCCTCTGGCCATGTAGAGCATGTGTCGTAAGAAAATGACTTCTATTCTATGGCATTGGCAAATGTTAGATAGTGCTGGTATGTAGCATCTGGCCATGTAGAGCACGTCTCGTATGAGAATAACTTATATTCTATGGCATTGGCAGAAGGTTAGATAGGGCTAAATTCCTGAAATCTACCAAATTGTTTAATAAAAAATTGTGTGTCTTCTGTACCATTTGGACCAAAACTTTATTGATGTATATCAAGTATTGAAATCGTTATGTCTCATTGATCGTAAATCTTTGAATCAAATCTTGAGTTGATATTAAAAGCCTTTCATATGATACACATATGTTATTGTTGTTCTTGTTCCTTTTTGCTTCAGTGATATATATATATATATATATATATATATATATATATATATATATATATATATATATATATATATATATATATATATATATATATATATATATATGGCATAATATTATGTTGTATCAATTTATTTAATTCACTAAGGCCCAATTGTCCAATCCAATCCAACATGTCTCATTCTAAGGGCCCAATATCATACAACCATCAAGGCACAACTATGGCTCAATTTTCCAAATTGGGCCCAATCTTTCATATGGGCCTTACCCTAGAACCCAACTAATTACTATAGTCCATTTGATTATTCTTGGATGGCCCAACACCAAGCCCGAGTGAAATTAAGGTTTCACATAAAATGATAATTAGGGTTAAGTGTTTCTCACTTAACCCATTAAGGGCTTAACCCACTAAAGACTTAATCCATTAAGAACTTAATCCATTAAATCCATTATTGCTTAGATTAATTTTTGCCAATGATTGTTATTTAATATTTCACTTATTAAATAAGTCTCGTGTGTGTCCTGATAAATTCACAAATATTAGGATTTTCTCAATTAATCCATTAAGGACTTGATCCATTAATTCCTTTACTCTACTAGATAAATGGCATGGAATAGTTTAAGCTTAATTCACAATCCAATCCCAATGGCCCACAAGTGAACCCAATAAGTCTAAGGCCCAAAGCTCATAATTAGGGTTTTCCACCCAAACATGGCCCAATAGGCCCAAAACCAATATCTAAGCCCATTAGGGTTTGCTAGCAGGGCACCACCCACTACCACCTCGGATAGTGGTGGTCGGTGGCGGCTCACGGCGGCGGCCACCACCCTAAGGTGGTGGTTTTCCATTTCTTTTCATTAATCTTTTGGAAATTACAATTACAATGCTTTATACACACACATTAACTAACTAACTAACACACACAACCACCCTATTGGTGGCCCACGGTGGTACAAGGCGGCAGCCACCACCTCAAGGTGGTGGCGGTGGCTGTTCTTAGGAATTCCAGCTAGACAAAACATACACAACAAAAGAAAATACACCCACACGCTTGTTTTGCCCGGAGCAGGAACACATCCACCCTCTTGGTGGCGTTGATGACGGCAGAATCATGGAGAGGCGGTAGTGGTGGTGGTTCGCGATGACAACCGGTAGTTCCTCTTGATTCCCAATCAAGTAAACATATGTGTACACTCGAAAACAAGATCTGAAGACCGAGAGATCTCCAAATGAGCCACTACCGGTGGCAAACGACAATTGGAACCCTAGAGACGGCGACCAACAGCAACGGCGGCCCAAAACGGCAACCACAGGGCTGCTAGCGACAGCATTCGACATACACAATCTTGATTCACTGAGAACAACGAAGGAGAAGAGAGGTAGAGTGGAAGATAGGATTTCTAGGTTTCCGGTGGCTCACAAATCTCGTAGCAACATTTTCAGCTCGGTCGTCGATCTTGGCGGCCATCTCGACTGTACACATCGGTTCCGGTAGTGGAGCTGGAACGGCGGCAATCCCCAGCGAAGCAGCGACGGATGAAGGAGCCTCAAAGGGTAGTGGCGGCTGGGGGGAAATCACGATCTACAGTTAGGGTTCTTTTCTTGCACCCCTTTTGATGAGAGGATGAGGGATCAGATATATCCCGTAGCTACAACCAAAACTAAACTGCCAAAAATACACTTTTGGTCCCTCCTCCCCATATTATTTTCAGCATCAATCCAAAATTTACCTGAACTTACTCTTTTAACCCACGACTTCTAAAATTCTTCACAAATGAGTCCAGTGCTTACATTTACTAATTTATTTAAATAAATGGTGCGTTACAACTCTCCCTCACTTAAATTAGATTTCATCCTCAAAATCATTTCTTACCATTCCTTATACACCTAACCACTATATTGATATGGTCACCATCCTGGGCACACCCTAGCCTTCTTAGGGTAGCCATGACCAATCTTTGCAAAGCCTTAAATTCACTAGTGAACAGATTACTCGTAACAGTCCACATCTACTCTGTCTGATATCTGCTGTCTTGAGATGGTCTGATTCCCTGACAGACCACTCATACCGAATCATTATAGATGAACCCTGCGGTGGGTGACTAAGCATTACTCAACAATCTGTAATGCTTATCCTACATGAGATCCTCAAATACCATTACTGCTGGAGCCCCAAAACTATCTGAAACACTGATATGCCTGAAATATACAAAACTAGCTGAAAAACTGACTGCCTGAAACACTGAACTGCCTGAACACTGAACTGTCTGAAACACTGAACTGCCTGAAACACTAAACTTCCTGAAACTGTATGTTACCACATGGCTACTTTCCAACATCTACCGAGACCTACCAGGTCTCAATTTTTCGCTAATCTTCTAAAATACTGGGTTTCGACCCGGCTGCGAAGGCAAAGGGTTCCCACTTAGTCTCCTCACACAACTTCTGAGCGAAATCCTTCTCTGGAACTAGTTGCCACTGAGGCTCTAATAACTTTCTGATCTAACCGATTGCCTTGATACGTCGAATCCTGACGTCACCAAAACCATGGTTAAAAGTGATTGCTAAATGACCATTGGTAGCCTTATGTCATAAATGACCTTAAGTAGTCTACTGCTTCCTTGCTCTCATAGTTGGAGTGATGCTTCTATAGTCTTATCACTAGCTTAACCAGGTCTAATCTGTATAGGTAATTCTAAAATCCAATCCGTGGATTTCCATATCCTCACTGCTACACCCCAACTCGTGGGTACTATTGTTCCTTTGCGTCTTAACAACGCACTCATGCTATCTACCAACCTAGTGAATGCTACGGCTACACCCGCAAACTTACAACACTCTAACACTATCTAGCTGGTAGTGAATGCTACGGCTACACCCGCAGACTTACAACACTCAAATATTATCTAGCTGGTAGTGAATGCTACGGCTACACCCGCAGACTTAGAGCACTCTATCACTATCTGGCTGCTAGTGAATGCTACAGCTATTGGATAAGGTGTCTAAGTCCATAACTATTTCTGGTAAATACTTGACCCGACCCGGCATGGTCCATTTGGGTTGCATGGCACCATGCAATTGGATAAACTAAATGAGAGAAATAACAAATATGGTTTATTAATATATTATAAGTTCTAATATATTAATAATATTATTTAATTAGTTTGATCAAGAATTAATTTAGAATTAATTAAGTGATCAAAAGACAACTAATTAAATGTATGGATTGATTATGTAAATCATCCATAACTTATATAGTGGGCTAAGAGGCTCCATGGATAATCAAGATGGGTTATACCCATTGGATGGTCCATGGAGGCTCCATGGGAGTTACAAACCCATGGGTCATGGAAATGAAGAGTCATGACACATTAGGGTGTAACCCTAGATGTGTCAACACTATATAAAGCTCATGTGTTCTCCCCAAAATCGGTTAGACAAGAAACAAGAGGGCTAGAGCCGATTTTGAGTGTTATACATTCTCTCCAAGTTTACTCCATAGCATTTGGTGTTGTGTGAAGCATTTGAGGCATCACACTTGGGGTGCTAGGCTCACAAGGTTTCAAGGAACACCCACAACAACAAAGTATGTAATTCTATCTATTATTTAAGTTAAAATTGTTCCCCATGTATGCTAGATAGGATCATAGCCTTGGAAATCAACTTTGCATGATAATTAGACAAACATAGATCCAAGGTTATTAGGGTTGCATGTACACTTAGGAAGTGTTAGAATGCTCAAAACCCATCAGTGGTATCAGAGCCTAGGCTTGCTTGTTTGATTTTTATGCAAACTGCTTGAAAAAATCGAGTTTTCTGCGTTTTGCCCGTATGAACTCGCCGAGTCCATGGGGGGAGTCGTCGAGTCCATGACCAAATGCAAGCTACTCACCGAGTTAGTTCATGCACTTGACGAGTAGAAGCTGCAGTTTCAGAATTTCGATTTTAGTTGCTGGAAATGGACTAGAAACATTACCCTAAATTGTTTTGGTTTGTGTAAACATGATTTAGATGGTGTAATGTTTATGCTAATCCATTTACAACAACAAGTTATCAAAATTACAAGTTTTTAAGTGTAATTTTTGATTCATGAAAGTATTCATATTCATGTTCTTGATCTTATGATGTTTAGATGATCATAGGAATTATTTGTAACCTATGTGGTAGATTAATTCATGATCTTTATGTGTTTTCATGGAGTCCATAACTTGTCCTCAAGTTATGGAAAACAAAAAAATCACATTGCTTTAAAACCATTAAAAGAACTCATGGGTTATAAAATGAAGAGTCTTCATTTTTAAATACCCTAATAAACTCATAAGTTACTAGAAATGAAAAGTTTTGAAAGTTTACAAAACTTGCCCTCAAGTTTTGGAACAAGTAAAGTCTTGATTAAAACTTTAGTTCCAACCCTTAGAATTTTAAAAAAATTAAAAGTCAACCCTTATACTTATAATATTATGATTTAATAATTATATATATATATATATATATATATATATATATAAGAATAAAGTCGTCTTACCGCTAGTACGCCTCATTCACGAAGCCGGTCTATAAGGTGGGTATAAGGTTGTTGCCTATAAAATGGCAACTTAATGGGTGTCTACTCTCACCCACCGCTTGCTTGACTGGTGGAGGGTCGTTAGCCGAACGGGTAAGACAAGGACTTATAAATTATCATTAAAAGTATAATGATTATTATAAAGTAACTAAATGTTTTATAAATTCCCAATCTTAGTTACTTTAGGAAAAATGTGAATAAGGTGCTAATCCATGAAATTACACTTTGCACCTTGTTTAAGTCGTTGGTGGAGCGTGTGTGGTTTACCGGCACACTAACTTGGACTTAACAAGGAAGGCAAAGGGTGACTTAAGGTTTTTCATGAGGTCGGAAGGAGCGCGTGTGGTTTACCGGCACAACGATTAAGTGAAAAACATTAAGGGTACCAAGTAATTTGCATGGTTACTTCACACCTTGTTTTGTGATCCTCGGTATCCCAGTCACAAAACATGAAGGGCACACTCGAGATTGAAACATGCCATTGAAAAGTTCAATGAATCTCAAAGAATCTAGGAATTTCTAAAAGCCAAATAAAACCTAATAATTTATATTTCGTTTTCATGGTGGAAATTGGTGAATCGTCATTCACCTACCTTTCAAATATGTTATAACTTGGATTATGGCAGCCCTCTTCTAGGTTATAATATATTGTGATTGGTAGCCTTAATACTACATTTGGTGTTTTATTAAGGACTATCCTATATCTAAACTAAACTTACTTTCTTCCTTTCAGATGTCTTCCAACAATGTTACTCCTGGCTCAAACCCTACTGGCTCCTTCTCTCTCATGAACCTTTGTGGGAGAGTCATCTTTGATGGATCCAACTTTACTGACTGGATCAGAAACATCAGGATGGTCACTCGTTACGAGAACAAGGAATATGTTCTTGATAAGGAGCTCAAGGTGCCTGAGCCAACCGCTACTCCTGAGGAGTTTGCTGAATATGAGGCACATGAAAGAGATGCTACCAAAGTGGCATGCATCATGATGGCCACCATGACAGCCGAGCTCCAAAAGTCCTATGAGGACTACTATCCTTTTGAGATGCACCAAGATTTGATGGACCGCTACCATCAGAGTGCTCGTCAAGAGCGATATGAAATCATCTCCTCTATGATCACAACCCGTATGAAAGATGGTGAACCCATCACAAACCACATGCGAAAATGCAAAGGTATGTGGATAGATTGATGAAGTTGAATGTGAACTTCCCTGAGGAGTTAGCAATAGATATTATTTTGCACTCCTTACTTCGTGTTATGATCAATTCCGCATGACATACCACATGAATAAGGAGGAAGTTACACTTAGCAAACTTCAGGGACTCCTAAAGACCGCAGAATCAGGTCTTAAAGGAAAGTCGTTGTGACCACTCCTGCTACTACTCCAAACTCAACACCTGTCCTGGAATCGGGAAAGGTAGAGGGAAGAAGAGAAAGAACCCTTCGAAGGGTACCAAGGGTAAGACCCTTGATGGCTCCTCTTCTAGCGGAACCAAGAAAGGTTTCGTTATACCTTCTTCTGATCCCAAAGAGGCTGAATGCTTCTACTGCCACGAAAAGGTGCACTGGAAGCGTAACTGCCCAAAGTACCAGCAAGACGTGAAGGATGGGAAGGTTAAACCCAACCATGCAGGTACTTACACTATCTCATCTAATAATTACTCTATTCTAACTCTTGTCCTTGATACGGTTGCGGTATTCATATTTGTTCTGAATTGCAGGACTAAGAAGAAGTGAGAATGTGGAGCATGGAAAGATAAACTTGATCATGGCGAATAGGAAAGTTTCACCTGTCACCAAGATTGGAGTTTATACTTTATTGCTTAGTAGTGGATGTACTTTAGATTTGAATAAATGTTGTTATTCGCCAGAAATGGCAAGAAATGTTATTTCCTTTCATGCTTTGTATAAACAAGGTTTTACCTTTTCTTTTGATAATGAAACTGTGGAATAAATGCTTTCTTTAATAATGTGTTTTATTTTAAAGCATTACCTTGTGATGGTGTGTATGAAACTGTGTCTGTTGTAGATAACTTAGGAAATAATGTATTGTGTATTGATTCTACTAATAATAATAATTTGGATAAAGCATCATTATGGCATTGTCATCTTGGACATGTAAGCAAGAAACGCATAGGCCAACTCCAAAAGGATGGAGTCTTGGAGTCATTTGACCTAAAGTCAGATGATAGTTGCAAATCATGCTTACTTGGGAAAATGACAAAGTCACCCTTCACTGGTTCTTGTGAGAGGGGTGAAGGTTTGTTGGACCTTATACACACGGATGCGTGTGGACCCTTCAAACATGCCACAAGGGATGCTAATCATTATTATGTGACTTTTATAGATGATTATAGTAGATATGGATATGTCTACTTAATCAAGCATAAGTCAGAGACTTTTGAAAGGTTTAAAGAGTTTAAACAAGAAGTCGAGAATCAATTGGGCAAGAACATTAAGATGCTTCGATCCGATCGTGGTGGTGAGTATCTTAGTACTGAGTTCCTCGACTATCTAAGGGAATGTGGGATTGTCTCACAATT